CTGACAATTGTCTTCAAAATTATTGTCCACACATTCTCCAAAAGAATTTTTGAAAAACTTTGTAGTCACTTTAATATTAAGTAAAAATTAAAAAAATTATCTCAACATTAAGCAGTTGCAAAGGATTCACTCTCCAGGCTACTGCAAATAAAACTCTTACACTTTTAAATATAAACATTGAAATGTAAATACTGTGGTTATTGAATTCACATTATCTTCTAATCCATAATACATAAAGTAGTTTGTCTTTAGTATTTAGAACTATTGTTCCTTTTATTCCTTAAACTAATGTTTTGATTTTCCTTACCAAAAGATTTCTGTTTTAAGTTATTTTATACTTTAAAGCCATGGATTATGTTTTTCTGCAATAAAAAAGGACAATAATTTATTTTTTAATTTTCAATTACCATAATTGTCCAAATTTACCTTTACAAATATAACTACTAAAATTTGAGTAAAACAAATTTTGTTAGTCACAAAAATAAAATTTTATTGGAAATGTAATTCTTAGTAGGATAGGCAGGCATATTTTCATAAAACTTTTTAAAAATTGAAGTAGCTTTCAATAAAACTCATACTTCTTTTAAAATAACAAGGTAACAGGAGCATAGAGGATCCCAGAAAGAAGCCATTCTCTCTGGTTGATCTGGCAAAGTTTTCCCAGAGAAAATGTCATCCGCATAGGATCTAAAAGATTAAAATACATTCTTTGGTCAAATAAGGTAAATAAAGAAGATTCTAGGCGGAAGGAACAGTGTGTGCAAATCTTGGAAAAAGGTAAAAATATACCCTGTCGAGACATCAGATATTTTTGAACATGATAAATTTGTGATATCAAATATCAAAATAAAATCTGAATGAAACTTGGGGTCTTATTAGCAATTGAATTTAAGAATGTAAATGTTAGTGGATAGGTTTGGGCTGCTGATAAATTGTATTCAAAGTTTAAGCAACCCAAGCTTAGATGTGATCATGTATTAAGTAAGGGTAGGCAGAAGAGAGAATTTCAAACACTGAGAACTGGAGCACTCCAATATTTGAGCCTCAGGGGAAAGAGGAGGAAACAATAAAGGAGAATGCAAAAGGTGGCCGATGGTACTCTAGAAACCAGGTAAAGAGGAAAAGGTGACCAGAGCTCAGATACTGCCACCTTGAGAAGGTGAGCGATGAGAAATTACCATTTTTATTGCCTTTTTAATTCCTGGCTAAAGCGCCTTTTTAATATAAGGGCTTCCTAGGAATGATATTTAAAGTGTTAAAGAGTTGTTTTTTTCTTTGTCATCACTCTATATTTTTTTTTCTTGTTTTATTAGATTACATTTAGATAAATTGGCTGAGCAAAATCATCTGCTTTTATTATTATTTTTTCTTTTTACTAAACTACGTGGATATAAGGAAATCACATATAATTATATATATGTGTTTTTTTTTTTAATTTCACTCTGCTTCCTATTTCTCTCTTTTAGCCTTGCTGATTTGATTTTCTTTTCTTTCTTGAAACCATTTTCCTGCCCTGAATATTAATTTGGAATTTATATTTCATATCTCAGTCTACTTTTTCCTAATGAACATATTGACATACAACATAACATAATAACCAAGTCTCTTTAGCTGAGGGATATTTCCCTCCTCTTGGTCATGCTTTCCATATTCAGTCCTGAAACAAACATGGCAAGCCATTGGTGTCTCTCAAGTAATGGGGAAACATGGCTCGCCTAGTAGTTTTTACTCTTGTGGGTAATTTTAAACTCCCGGGAACCCAAATGACCTTCTTACAAAGTTTCTTTTTTTTTTTCTTTTCTTTTTCCCCCTGGTAAAACATGAATGTCCTTTCTCAAGGTGTTTTTTGTTTTTTTGTGTTTTTTTTTAAATATATGTTTTTATTAATTCAGAGAGAGAAATGGAGAGGGAAAGAGATATAGAAACATCAATGATGAGAGAGGATAACTGACCTGTTGCCCTGCCCCACCACTACGGGAGACTGAGCCTGCAGCGTGGGCATGTGCCCTGGCCGGGATTTGAACCATGACCTCTGGTTCATAGGTCAATGCTCAACCACTGAGCCACACCAGCCAGGCTCTCAAGAAGAAATCCAAAGGTTTTTGTGGTCGGCTTCCTCAGGTGACCAGCAAACTCTTACATTCACAATGACCCGGATGAGAGGTGGGTTTGATCTGTTGTCCTTACTTCTTTTGATGATAAAGGCAATAAGTTCTCACCCAGGAATTAAAGAGTAGGGCCCGATATAAAGCCAGCACCTTTTCACAGTGCCCTCTATTTACTCTAAATTCTGCATTCTCGCCATGGCCAGGTGGCTTAGTTGGTTGCAGCATCGTACCATAAATGGAAAGGTAGCGGGTTTGATTCTCAGTCTGGGCACAAACCTAGGCTCCAGGTTTATATGGGAGACAACTGGTCAATGTTTTTCTCTCTATATAAAAATCAATAAACATATTTTCAGGTAAGGCTTAAAAAATTAAAAACTCTGTATTCTAAAGCTGTCTTTGTTTAACCTTAAATTCAAAAATAAATACCTGTATGTGACAAATGACGTGGAAACTAAATTTACTTGGGAATGAATTTGACACTGTGTAAGTAGAAATAATTTGCATGATTATTTGGCATTTCAGTAAAACATGCTATGATTAAAGAATTGTGCAGAATAAGTCAAATGTTGGATACTGCAAGATTTTTTTGTGAAGCAAATATTTAAGAACTAAACAATCATTAGTAGGATAAATGGGATTAATTCAATGATGAAAAACCAATGAATAAGTAGTATACTACATGGCATAAAAAAGAAAGATAAAATAATATTGATGGCCACCGTTCCTATAATATCTTGTACGTGTCAGGCACTGAACAGTGTTTGACATATGTCAATCCCTTTACACCTCACACTACACCATGAGGTAGGTGGTGTTATTTTTTCCATTTTACCAAAAAAAGAAGCTGGAACAAAGACAGGTTAAGGATGTCTCCAAAACTACACAGCCAGTAAGTGGTGGAGTAGAGTTATATATACCAACATAGAAGAAAGGAATGATATTTCATAAAGAGAGAAAAGAATCCCAAGGTAAAAAGTAGATGCATAAAGTGTAATTTGCATTTCTGTAAGAAACAACGTTTGCTTGTATGTGTACATGTGTTTGTGAAAGGGAAAATATAGACCATACTACTAAAGAGAGTATTTTAATGTTGGAATTTCTACTTTCGGTTTGTTACATTATGGTAATTAAAAAAAAAATATATATATATATATATATATAAAATTTTTAACTTTCTCACCCCCCCCCTCTCTCTCTCTCTCTCTCTCTCTCTCTCTCTCTCTCTCTCTCTATATATATATATATATATATATATATATATATATATATGTAAAATCCTATATTACAATGTAAACTTTTTTAAATGTCATTTTTCATACCTATGTTGTAGATAGCACTAATTCCAAACATTTGTTACTATTGATAACAATTCTAATTATTTAGGCTACTTAAAATTTTTTATTTAACTTCAAAAGTAATATATTAAAATATTTAATGAATTTTCCAGTTAATTCCTTCCTACATTTCTGCAAAAAAAAAAAAAAGAAAAAAAGACTTCCTTTCTTTTGTCCACCCCCCTCTTACATCTTCTCCCCTATTAGAATTTTCTTATTTGAGAGAAACAAGTTTCGACATCACCATCTGGATTTCAATTTTTGAAGTTTAATTAAAATACATGAAGATTTTGCCAAGAACGTAAATCTCTTTGCTTGCTAATTTGAGGCTAGCTAGTGTGTGGGAGTTTTCTTGTCTTGTCTATAAGGATTGGAGAGCACAAAAATTCAAACTTCTTTACTCTAAATCGTTGGTAATAAATGACATTCAGCTAACTTTCAATATTTATTATTTATGACATCATTCTCAGTTTATGTCAAGAGATTTTAGAAATTAATATTATGCATTCCATCTTTCCATCATGTTATATTATGACAAATTAATTTCCATGAAAATGAATACAAGGAAAAGTATAACTTTGTTGAGATGTGAAATAAATTATGTAATAAATTTGAGAGACAAAATACTTTGAGAAACCCACTAATAATTCAGTTTCAATAATGCCAAAACAGTGTCTAAATATAGTTCATCAAAATATTGTTATTTTAATTTATAGACGTCTTTGCTTATTTTAGGGACAAACATTTCCTAAAATTTGAGTGTTGCACGAAAGGATATAAGGATTTAAGCAACTACTAATCAGTATCTTCCAGATACTGCTATATGTTTCCGATGACTTGAATATCAATCTGAAATCAGTTCTCTAATAAGCAAAGTAATATGTCCATTGGTCTTCTAGACTAAAAAGTCATAGACAGAAATATAATTGAATATGCATTATTTCCTTTGGAATATATGAAAGTTTTGCACAATTCCTTAAAGGATGAGAGAAAAATTTAAGCAATCTTTGATATACAATGTAAATAACTCCCAAAAGAAATCACAGGCCTATTTTTATTTATTTTTGCTTTAAAAATATTTCAAGTATACAAAGATATATCTTATCTGTACCTTTAACTTTAGCTATTCATAAATACCCACTGGATAAACCAGAAATAGAATTTATTTATGAATTTTATTCTTTGTTGTTAGAAAAAAGAAGTATGAAATTTGAAATACAAAGGAAGAAACACAATTAACCTGAAATAGGATGATACCCACATAAAAATATTTTATAACCTGATATAAATATTAAATACAAGGAGTAATGAGTATTATTAAACTATATATGCCATGTAATATAAAATGCTCAAAGATGTAAAATCATGTTAAATAATTGAAATTTTTTCTGAAAGACACACATAACTTTTTCTTATTTAGACAGATACACATAAATAATGCCATTATTCACTATTTTTTTTACCTTATTAACCACATTGCTGCTCTATTATATCAGCCTCAAAAAAATAAGTAAGCCAAGTGCAATAAATGTTAAAAAAAATAGACATTGTTACTTACCGACACGTAGGACCACTTTTTTCCACCATACAAGTCCCACTATTTCTGCAATAAGCTATCGGACACTCTAAAAAGAAAGCATCAGAGAATACCAATATTAATTATAAATATTACTAGAGGCCTGGGGCATGAAATTTGTGCACTTGGGGAGAGGGTCCCTTAGCTCTGATTGCAAGAGGGCACAGGCTAGGCCAAGGGACCCCACAGTTGCATGATCAGGGCCAGAGAGGGACACAGGAGGTTGGCCCGTCAGGGAGGGACTGTTAGAGGGCTCCTGACCCGTCTAGTTCAATCCTAATCAGCCAGACCACAGCAGCAAGCTAACCTATTGAGCAGAGCGTCTGCCCCCCAGTGGTCAGTGCATGTCTTTTGAGTGGTTGAATGGCCTTAGCACGTTATAGCATATCATGCTTTGATCAGTGGAACAGATGACTGCATGACCAGACACTTAGCATACTAGGCTTTTGTTATAGAGGATTAACAAGATGATGGTCATATCACTGTTAGTCATTTCATTAAATGTAATAATTTAAAATCAACTGCTTTCTAGTTACTAAAAGCACATTAATTCTCCAAAGCTTCTTTTCTGTAGCTCTAAACTTACTCAGTGGCTCCTACTTTTTGGGAAGTGTTCATTCTCTTCACATGTCTGAGTGGTGGACCAGATAAATGGACTTCTCCCCTGGGCTAGTGAATGTAATTTGCTTTTCCAAGGATATATTCACCATCTTGCCTACGCTTACTCCTTCCTGTTTAATGAATTTCAATAAGGAACAAGGTGCTGGAGACAAGAATAAAGAGCTTTACTCCTCAGTCATCAGGTGCATACTAAACTGAACAGAACAGGTTAAAAATTTCCTTCACAAACAGGAAATCAGCTGGTTTGATTAAAAATAGCTTACCAATATGATGAAGCATATATAGATACAATCCTTGTTAGATAAACCAGTTTATGGCTATTTTTGGTCTTAAGTACAATTTTAGTCTTCCTTAAAAAAGAGGTTTGTTTTACTAAAAGACCAGTCATTGTCTGATACTGCAAAGTATCAAAATACACACAAATGCACATTTCTTTTCTGGGGTTATTAATAATTACTTTGAATGTAGTGAGTAACTAGCCTTATATCAGAATGATTCTGTGAGAATCTAGACATGTACTCTCTTGCACTGAATAATGGAGCACCTTGAAAAGCAGAAAGTGGTATTGGTCAGAATAAGAAGTGAATCCTGGTATTTTGGAGAACAGAAGGTTTGCAGATTATCTCTAATGAGTGTTTATAAGCTTCTGCCTTTGAGCCAGGCTCTTTATTCATAAAATGGAAAAACAGTACACAGTATTTTCATCTTCAATTTACTGAAAACAGTTTAGACCAGAGGGTAGATGAAATGGAGAAGGGCATGGGTATGACCAGATAGAAATGAAAAAGACTAAATATATCTCCAGCAGCGAAGTAGATAGTTCCTAAGATTGGAACTAGGCATCTATGGGGTTGCTTTTAGAATTAGTACAGGTCCCCAGGTTCTTTAGCCACACTGATATCTCTCTGCATTCTACTCTCTTATTTTGGTTATTATGACATGTGTCTGGAGGTCCACACAACTCATAACTGACTTTGTAGAACAATCATTCTTTGAAAAATTCAAGTTCAATCCCAAAGTGGTGTATCACTTTGGAAAAACAGGAACTCCTATAAACTGGACAAATGATCAATTTAAAAACAAAATTAACTTTTTAAAAAAAATGTATTATTTATTTTTAAAAATATATTTTATTGATTTTTCCACAGAGAGGAAGAGAGAGGGACAGAGAGCTAGAAACATCGATGAAAGAGAAACATCAACCAGCTGCCTCCTGCACAACCCCTGTAGGCCTGCAACCAATGTACATGCACTTGACAGGGACCTTTCAGTCCGCAGACCGATGCTCTATCCACTGAGCCAAACCAGTTTCGGCTAAAAAATGTATTCTTATTGATTTTTTTACAGAGAGGAAGGGAGAGAAATAGAGAATTAGAAACATCAGAGAGAATGTGCCTGCAACCAAGGTACATGCCCTTGACCAGAATCGAACCTGGGACTCTTATTCCGCAGGTCAACGTGTTATCCACTGAGCCAAACCAGTCAGGACAAGAAAAAAGTAACTTTTAAATTTAAATGTAAATAATTTACAACTAGACACCTTTCTTTGTTGTTGCTATTGTTTCTTTCAATGTGTATAGATACTAAGGGATTGACAGCTATTACGAGGTGGATTGTTGTGAAGGAATTATCATGTGTGTCTTGGTTTTCCCTCCCTGAAAACTACTCAGTTAATAAGGTGTGTGACCTTGGGCTAGGTATTTTAAAGTTCTTTATGTTTAAAGTGAAGATTATTTCACCTTCCTTATGGGCCTGCTAGGAGGATAAATTAAATTTATAACATTTCTATCCTAGTCAATGGCATGTGTAAGTATTAAAATAATTGCTCTGATGTATCCTTCTATTTCAGGGCATTCTTTGAATTTGCCATGAAATCTAATTTTCATTACCAGTGCACTCTCCATCTTCTCATTTTTCTTTTCTTCCCAGCACCATTGCCATTCACTGCAGACCTGCTCTGTCATAGTCTGTCCTAAGAGTTTTACCGGTGTTACCTCATTTAACCCTCATAACACTATGTGGTACACCCATACTTATCCTTTCTTCCATAGGACACTGCTTAATGATGTACTGCTCAAGTTAACAGCAAGGAAGCAGCAGGTATTGAACTAAATCCCAGTCTTCTCACTCCAAAGCCTGTCAGTTTAAAAATGTCAAATGATCCATTATCCATTATTCAGAATTTCTATCCCCTCTTGAAGTTCTTGACTTTATGGGTTTTTAAACCCCTTTGAATCATGTTGTCTCAATGCGCTGCCGTGGGTTAAATATCCATACACAGTAAACAGCTGTGTGGTTTCAGGTAGTCTGGGTTGTAAGAGTCCGCCAGAAAGCTTGTGCAGCAAACCAGGCTCCCAGCTGGCACAGATTGTTCTCTTTCTCTTGAAATCCCAGCACGGAGACTGCAGGAAAGATTAACTGCTGCTAAGAAACTTGAAATAGCTCCACAGTACTTACATAAGGATTTTTTGTTTTGTTTTCATTTGGTTTTGAAAAATCTTCTGAAATGTTATTTTGCTGTATTATTATTATTAGTAGTAGTAGTAACATTTTATCATTCATCTATTAAATTATTATATATTCATAATATTTCATCCTGAAAATTTAAATTTCAGTGTCTTTTCCCAATTCTCCTTCAAATAGCTGATTATCATAATTATAGTATCACCACTGCATAACCTTAATTAACCTCTACTACTGCAAATGACTGGAAAAACCTTTTAACTTAAAATTAAGCCAGGCAAATTCTGTTCAATGATTTTCTATTGCATAAACAGCCAAACTTGAAAATAATATCTTTCTATTGAAACTTAGGAATAGGACCCAGAGAAAAAACTTAACCTGCAGTACCCATACATTGCCTGAGCTTGATGTTCTTTTTAATGATTTAAACTTTGAGGTGAGGGCTGACCAACTGCTCACCATCTGTTGTGTGACTCAGGGAGAAGTAGTGGATGCTGTAGGTTTGGCAAAAAGTCTATAAAATGCTGACCTTAGAGGAATATGATGCTTGAAAGAAACAGGAAGGTTTAATGTGCACTAAACATCTTAGCATGGATTAGTATTAAAGGCACTCTTAAAATGGAAGCATTGTCTTAATTACATTTGATTGACAAACTAAAAAGCAAATAAAATACAAATAGAGAATACATAATATAATATGAATTGTATTCCTGAAAACTGTTCCACTAGTTCTTTATTTTACTTTAACCCCAAAGCCATAGCAATCTGACCTATATGTTAAAAAAACAAAAACAAAAAACTGTAAATGAATTGGTAAGTGATTAAAATATATGGGGCAACAAAAATGTATTATTATCTTCTAGAGGCCTGGTACATGAAAATTCATGCACTGTAGGAGGGGTGGCCCTCAGCCCAGCCTGCTCCCTCTCACAGTCCAGGAGCCCTCAGGGATGGGAGGCGATCTGGCGATCAGGGGAAGGCAATGCCCCTATCACACCTCTGCTGCTGCCACTGATGGCAATGTAAGCCTCAGCCATCTCTGGTTACTTGAGCCTCAGGTGGCCCTGGGTGGCTGGGCAGCCAATATCTGAGGCTTGCCTGTGCCTTAGGCCTGTGCTGGGTGGCTTGGGGGTTGAGGGGACTAGGCACCACCATCTTGTGGCTGTGGGTGCCACCATCTTTGAGGGCATGATAGTCAATTAGCAGATTCCCTCCTTATTGGCTGTGGGCACTGCCATCTTTTTGATGGTGTGAAGGTCAATTAGCATATTCCCTCTTTATTAGGTAGGATAGAGTGTCCATCACTCAGTATGAATGGCAGGTCTTTTGTATTTTTTTCTTTTTTTTCTTTTTAAATATATTTTATTGAGTTTTTACAGTGAGGAAGAGAGAGGGATAGAGAGTCAGAAACATTGATGAGAAAGAAACATCAATCAGCTGCCTCCTCCACACCCTTCTCTTGGGGATGTGCCCTTAACCAAGGTACATGCCCTTGACCAGAATCAAACCCGGGATTCTTTAGTCCTCAGTCCAACTATCCACTGAGCCAAACTGGTTTCGGCAGGTCTTTTGTATTTCTGATCATACTTTTAAAGGTAGAACATTTCAAAGCAAACAATAAACCACAGCATATTATAATATATTTGTTCTCATATAAAATTATACTAAAGACAATCTCACCTTTATGTAAATAAATTTTGGTATTGGACTAAGTACTATATCTTAATAGTTTCAAAGAGTGGAACTACCTTATTAATATATTTCTAGATGTCTGAAAAGAGAACAAGTTTTACTTTTGGGTGTCTAATCTGGTGTATGTGAATGTCTAGTAGAGAAACAATGCTGGAAAGCATTTATCTTTGCATATTCTGTAGTATCAGATTTGCTCAATTCTTAATTTCCTTTTGTATTCATAAAATTCAGTGTTATGTGGGTATTCATTTTCAGCAGCATAAAAAAAGATGCCATATACTATGATTTGAATATAATTATCATGCTGTTTTCACTTATAATATTCTCCTTTCTTAAAAGATATGAAGAGTAGAGTCTTACAAAGAATATAATTTGATATGAAATATCTAAAATTTATTTAAAAAATATGATCAAATACACCTTTTATCACCAATTCATATTACTTTTTAGTTGTGACAGATTTATATAGACCCTATCTATTATTTTATACTTGAGGCCCGGTGCATGAAAATTTGTGCACTTGGGGAGTATCTCAGCTTGGTCTGTTCCCTCTGGCAGCTATGAGCCCTCAGGGGATGCCCACCTGCCAGCTTAGGCCTGCTCCCTAGGGGATCGGGCCTAGCTAGCAGTCAGACATCCCTCTGGAAGTACAGGAATAGTCGGCCTAAGCCGCAGTTGGACAAACTTGGTGCTACAGACATCCCACCACTGCCACTGTGATGGTGTCAGCCTGGTTTGTGACTGAGCAGAGCTCCCCCTGTGGGTGCACAGTGACCATCAAGGAACATCTCCTGCTGAGCACCTGCATATGCAAATTAACCCACCATCTTTGTTGGGTTAATTTGCATGCTCACTCATGATTGACTGGTGTGTGTCATGAAGGTACAGTCAATTTGCATTAGATATTTGTAATATTTATTTGTTTATTTTTAAGATTTATTTATTTTTTTATTGAATTTTAAAGATTGAGGAAAGGAGTGGGGGGGGGAGAGAGAGAGAGAGAGGGAGAGAGAGAGAGAAAGGGAGAGAGAGAGAGAGAGAGAGAGAGAGAGAGAGAGAGAGAGAGAGAATCATCAATGTGAGAACAATACATCAAACTGCTGCCTCCTGCATGTTCCTTCCAGGGATTAAGCCCATAACTTGGACATGTGCCCCAACTGAGGATTTTACATGCCATCTCTTGGTGCATGGAATGATACCCAAGCAACTGAGCCACATCAGCCAGAGCTATATTTGTAATATTTAGATGTCAACATTCTTCCTGTCCCAAACCAATAATAGAAATGCAGTTATTTCATTCTTGCTATTATTTGAATTTCAAGTTTTAATATTATTATTTTCTGCAGGTTAAGTTATTGGCTTAGATTGTGAAGAATATTTGAATGAAAATGGAGTACCTGAACAGCTGGATTCATCAAGTTGCAAGTCCATGCAGTGGGCAAAACCATCACAACGCTCGTGAGCTGGGATACAGCTGTTAGAGGAGTTGCACAGCAGAGCTCCAGCAGAACAGCTGACATTGGCTGGAAAGAAAAGGATCATCACCATCTTTTTAAAAAATAGTTTTCTAATGAAATAATATAATTTATTGTATTATTCTCCATTTTTTAGTTCTATATTTAAATTATATATTCAATTTTAAAAGTTGAACATTTCTCAAAGTATGTTGATGGAATCATTTCTCAGCATTGCATTATGTATATATAAAATGCATCATATGTACTATGTAGTCTGAATTGATTTTAGACTAGACCCAAATTTACATTAAAGAAGATTTCTGTTACTCCTCGAATGTCCCCGATATTAGGTGCAATTGAACTGATAGGTACCATAACTCGTTTGAATGTTCATCAATTTATAACTGAGTTATAAGTTATGAGTAGTGGCTAGGCGCCCATTAGATCTGGGTGTTGATGTGGTCACTGCAGCTCAATGTGCTACAACTGTGTGACCTTATCACACCGTGTTGGTGCATGATGGAGGTATTTTGTAAATCCCAGAGTATCTTATTAGCCTGACTTCAATAAACAAGCATAAGTCTTATTCACAAGACTTTTATTTTTTGTGTGTTTTTCCCCTCCAGAAAAATGTCTTTATTGATGTCTGTCAAGGGTACTGACAGTTCAATGGAGCTAATTCTGCAAATGACTGGAATTCCCTTGGATGTTCTCTTAGTCCTTACAATGTAGTGTTGTGTTCCTCCCTCTCATCCTCTAGTCTATTTAGGATTGTGACTACCTATAAAGCAGGAGGCTGTGTTTTAGACTCCTGCTATGAGTTAAGGCTGAACCAGAACATTTCAGTCTAGGCCATCATGCATCTCTGTTCTCCTGATTACTTAAAAACCTAGAAACCAGCAGGCCTGATCTCTATTTTCTCTGGTTCTACCTCTGTTTTGTTGCATGCCAATATTTAACGTCTTCAAGGCCTTTTGTGTGATAGCTCTTCCCTCTAGCATTGCTGTGTTTGGAAGAGAGGGAAAGTGTCAAAGCATGAACCCACTGCCCCATCTTCTCAGAAATACAAGAGAGGTTCAGAAAGTGATAATAATGATATTGGTCTACACTGTTTCTCTAACCTGGTTCCTTTAATTCATAGTATTTTGCAGAGATAATGTGAAAGACAGGAGTGGTGAGCCAGGGCTTTCTGGGGCTTAACCCAAGTTCAACAAAAATAGCTCTGCTTTTCTTCAATATACTTAATGATATGATATATCTTATTTGAACATGTTAATTCAAATCTGCTAAAAAGTTTAAAGGATTGATCTGGGAAGTTATTTCTGGTAGAATAAAGACAACTAAGTTCAACCTTCTCAAATTAAATGAACAGTTTATAAGACATGGGGATAGAGATCCCCAAGTATGGTTCCTGCACAGATTTTGTCAGTTATTTAAAAACATTTTATATTCTTTTCTTCAAACATATTTGTGTGCTGGAAGGAACTGTTTAGAGTTATTGTAGGATAATTGGCATAGTTTAGTTTGAGAACTGCCTATCAAAATTTATTTTCAAATTGGACATAAAAATGTCGTTTCTAAGAGTTTGTATTTCCATTGATTAAAATGCTGGCTCTGAATAATTAAAGTGACAGTCTTCATTCAGCAATTCTTCCTGAGGTGCTGGAACATCAATTCAACAGCAATAAATATTATTAAGCTGTCACAAAATGTAAGATACTAGGCTTAGCACTTCAAATGAAGGGCACAGGGAAGATGTGTAAATAAAGGGACATCAGAATGTATAAAGCAACAATAGCAAGATAACAATACAAGCGTGATCAGTAGTTCAAAACAATAATAAAAGATACACCATAAGGTCAGGTTTAGTTGGTAAAGTGCTGGTATAAATAAGCATTATAAAAGCTAGAGATTCCTTTAGTGTAGGGAGGTCTATAAAGACTGAAAGAAGAGTAGAGTCTTGAATGTGTTTTAAATTTTAATGTTTCCAGAGAAAAGTCATTTAATGAAGCGGTAATCTATAGACGGAGAATCAATAAATTTGATATTGAAACCATGAGTAAAGCAGTTTGCCTTTAACTGTAGAATTGTGTAAGAAGGTGGTACAAACAAACCTGAAAAACAAGGCTCAAACCAGCTTTTAGAAATGGCTAAGGTCACAAGGGAAAAGATAATCTTTAAGCTTTTCCAAAGGTTTAAAAGATTTTAGGGTTCCAATTCAAAAAAAAGAAAAAAGAAAAAAGAAGCACCTATGAGGAAACCTCATACTGTTTCCCTAGTGGCTGTACCAATTTACACTCCCACCAGCAGTGTACAAGGTGTCCTTTCTCTCCACATCCCTAATAAATTAAAAACAAACAAACAAAAAGCAAACCAAAAAAGATTTTAGAATATACATTGATAAGATAAATCATATTGCAAACACACATACTAGAAAATCACACAATTTCCAATGCTTATAAGATTCAGAGATGTTTGCAAAATAATGTATATGTTTATTAATGCATCTATATATCCACATGTATGAGCATGTGAGTATACATACATATTTTATAATATTATCAATGCATTGCAAGGAGCTGAGAGATATAAGATGATAGTTTTAAGGTTTTAAAAAATATAATATATTGAAATTTGTAAACAAAGACAATAGGTACTGCTCATCTAATTATAAAGCATTATTTTTAATCCTTTTCTCAGAAATACTAATCCATCCATATTCCCTCATCCAATTTCCAGTGGGAATGATAGCTTATCTTCAAGTTGAATGTACAATGAAGATCTGTAGCTTATCAGTAATATAAAATATCAATTATGACCCAAATAGCATCAAAAGACATAAAATATACCTCTGTCAGAAAAAAAATTAAAAAATGTTTTACTTTTTTCCTTTTAATAGAAAGTTTTCAATTTAGACAGTTAAAAATGGACCCTTTACTTTATAAAATTGAAAACTAAAGCCATAGTTTCTGTGGCATTTTAAATAGTTTAACATTAAAGTTAATGGATGTTTATCAATTTTCTTTTAAATGTAGTGGCAAATAAATTATGAATGCAATTAATATTTACTGACATATACAGCAAAGTACATTGTACTAAATATAGGACAACTAATTGAACTATTGCTCTCTTTTTCACTTCTATCATTAATAAATATACATCAAGGACAATTTCAAAAATTAGTCCAAATAAGATATATATGAAATTTATTATTTTTAACTTTATTTTTATTGTTGACATTATTACGCTCCTACCCCCCCCCCCCCCCACCAGCTTTGTCTACCTCCACTCAGCTTTTGCCACCTCTTCCCTTTGGCCATGACTACACTGTTGTCTGCGTCTATGGGTTATGAATATAAATGAAATTTATAGGAAACTGGTATTTCAAAATGTTTCCCTTGACAATATCTATTTTTGCCACATTCACATTAAAACATTATGTTTTAATGTCTACAGAAATACTTATTTCAATCTGTCATCCTACATTATCTTTCTTACCTAAATGAGCCAAGTACCACAGAGCATTGTGTGGCTTTTAGCTCATTCACTCAGGTACTCAGGTAGATGATACAACTCATGAATATTCCATTGGTGTTACATCCCTAAAGCAAAATTCCTGTTATAAATTATAATTGCTGCATAAAAAAACCTAAGTAAAGCATGTATGATTATGGATGTGTATCCATTCAGTATCTTAGGAGCATGACCTATTCCAAGTGTTCGGTAAGTGGTATTCAACTTACTGGGAAATATCAACTTCTACTGGAACAAATTAAAGTTAGAAAATAGGTAAATCATCCGCTACCCTTTATGTTTTCCACAGCTGTGCTTATCATTGATGGAGAGCTTCCATTTCCTCTTTTGAGTCATTCACTACCTCCTCTTCTTGCTCTCGGCCCTGGGAGACTAAACTATAAGGACACATTAACAAGATTCTTTGTCCTTTGGATTTTGATTAAGTTTAACTTTTGTTAAGCTTTGGCAAATGGGTATCATCATCCAGAGACTAATACAAGGGAAGTGACTGTGAAATTACCCTTTAACCAAATACCATAACTTTTAAAAAAATATATATATTTATTGATTTGAGAGAGGAAAGGAAAAGGAGAGAGAAATAGAAACATCAATGATGAGAAAGAACCATTGATTGGTTGCCTCCCCCAAACCTCCTAAAGGTGGCCAAGCCCACAACTCGTACATGTGCCCTTGACTGGAATCAAACCCCAGGATCCTTCAGTCCACAGGCTGATGGTCTATGTACTGAGCCAAACCAGCTCAGCACCACAGCTTTTCTTAATGGACTTCTTTGACTCCAGATTCATACAACTGTTTCTTCCTCTTAAATGCTTTGGTCTATAGGTGATAAAAGCCCCTATTATGCCTATCCTATTTGGTTTCTTTATGCACAATATTTCCCTAATAAATAATTGCTTTCTTAAAATATTTTCAAATTATACAGTATCAATGAACCATCTGTTTCTTGACAGAATATTAATGATGTAATATCTGATGAAATCTTGAAATCTTGGTAAATAGATTGTTATCAGTGAAAAGACTGTTCCTAGTTTTGTGTTATTTTCCCATATAACTAAACTAGACTTATTTTTTTTCATTTTCTTAAAGGGAAAAGGGATAGTTTTGGTAAAGTAAATGACACTCCAGTTCATTAAAACAATGTGTTTCCAATGGAAAGACAATATTAAATACAAATTATCTTTAAAAGCTGAACTCGTCACTGATTTGTTTAAACATCCTATCACTACAGCATCTATTTTTGCCAGAAGAGGCCTTCAAATATCAATTGCTATTGATTTTCCTGGTTAAAATTGTAAACACCTCAGAATTCTAGTCCTACAAGATTTAAACATGTACAAGCCTATCAAAAGATACAAACCAAACAAACAAACCTCTTATTTGGCCCTACATCTCACTAAACGTCAACTTCTTGAAAGAGCTGTCTGTAATTGATTGCTCTTTGCCATTTCCCATTTTCTCTACAAAAGATTGACTTCCAAATTCTTCCCTCTCATTCCAGAACAGGTTCTCTCTTTCCAAGATCACCAGAAAGCACCTTTTGATTTCCCAGCCTACATATTTTTTAGGCCTAATCTCCCCAAAACATTCCAACCTGTGGATACTCTGATAATTATAGCTTTTTACCATCAGAACATTAATCTCTTTTTGTTGTCCTGAGGTGTCTATGTCCACATCCCAGTGTCTTTCAATGCTTGGTTTTCTTAACTGTCTTTTAGATGTCCTTTAGAATTTTGTCTGCCACTTTCTCTTTTTACTCTTTATTATCTCATCTACATCACAGTTTTAACCATCATATGCTGATGACCATGTATCTGTATAGATCTTGCTTTATATCTTTCCTGAGCTCCAGATATTAATTTCTAAATACTTCCTGAATATTTCTGTGGATGTGCCACAGATAGCACAAATGTAACATGTTTAAAAATGAAGCCACAATCTTACAGTAACAGGTTCTTCTCTTTTTATTTTTCCCAGTTCAGGAAATGGTAGATTAGTTGTCCTGGTGCTCAAATCAGAAACTTGGAAACTATTCTTGATTATTTTCTCTTCCTCTTCACCAGAATGTTTCTTAAATATATTCCTATCTTTGCCATACACCATTATTTAACCAATGCCTTTATATTTTGACTACAACATTTCCTAAGCAGTCCTCTTCCTTGCTTCAGTCCATTCCATGTGCTACTTAAAGGGTTGTGTAGCCCTGGCATGATGGGGAGGCCTCTTCAAGACTGAGTCCTTGCTTGCCTCTCCAGACTTATTTATACATTTCCCATCACAAATTACTCTAGTTATAGGCAATATGCTTCAAAATACCTTTTCACTATTCTTGGGACATTCTTCACTGAAATTAAGCATCTCTATTTGCCTAATGACTACTTGTCTTTCTAAATTTGGCTCTAGCACCATAGTTAGAGTTACCTATATATTCAATTACCCTGTATCTCTCTCCCTCACAGAACTTATCACATGGAATTCCCAACTATCACTTACCAATCTCCTTCAGTAATATAAGAAGTATCTATGAACCTGACTGGAACAATGCCAAATCCATCTGAATCATAAATGCCCAATACAATAAGTGGCATAAATTGTGTTCCTATTAAAAGTTTGTGAACAAGTGAATGAATGAATGTAAGTTTACAAAATATTCTAAATCACTAGGTAAGCCCAGGAAAACAGTTATTCCCCCATGAGAGGAAATTTCTCTCATTGGATACGTTTATTTTGTAATTTTGTTCCAGCATTTTATCCATTGTTCATTTTCACACAATTTACCCTAGAGAGACAGAACTCCTCAATGTTTTAGAGATGGATAGAAGCAATTCTCTCATGATAGCAGTCTATTCCTATTGTGGACTTATTTCCCTTTAGGAGCAGAACTTCAGATATTGCTACCTCATCAAACACCAATTTTCAACAAATCTCTAAAAGTATAAGGATACATCAGTTTTCTAAGCTTCTCTTTAAAAAGTACTGCTATTTAAAGTCAAATATCACATGATTATATTGAAATTAATATGATTCCTAGCCAAATAATATTAAAACCTTGATGTGACAAGGGATAAGTAATTAGGCAGACTTTTTCTTTTTATTCATTTCCATTTGTTTGCCTTGCCTCTAAGAAAACATTATAAGACTTGACAAGTTGACTAAACAAGGGCTATATGTTTTGTCTAGGAACACAACACAAAGAACTATGTTATTGATGGTATGACTCTAGAGAATTTTGTTTTATTTGTCAAGCTCTCTTGATCATTCCCAAACAGCATTCCTTCCCTGGCGCATTAAGTTAGTGAAATGACTCACAGCAGCTGGATTCATCTTCACTTAAGTGGCAGTCAGGCACTCCGTCACACAGCAGGAGGGAGGGGATGCACCCGTGGGTAGAGCACGGGAACTCCATTTCACCGCAGCGCTGAGGAGGAGGGCTGAGGGAACAACCCATTTCATCCGATCCATCTACGCAATCCTCCTGTCCATTGCACTTCCTCGAGAGAGGGACACACTGGAGTGTGTAGACACAGGAAAACTGATCAGCCTCACACGGAGGTGGCTGAGTTGTGACAGGACCTGAAAAGAGAGCAAATCAAGTTAGTTTTGGCATTAGGAGTGTTATATCTCTGTCTAGTGTTGAAACATTGTGAGATGATATATTTATTCTTCATTAAACATAAAATATTTTGGTAATTTAAGTAAGTTAATTTCCAATTAGGAATTATATGAACTCCACAAAACATACAAACATGATGAAAGAAAATGCCTTATCTAAATCTCAGAAACAACATTTCTTTTTTTTTTTCTTTATTGAGTAAGGTGTTACATATGTGTCCCTATCTCCCCATTGTTCCCCCACCCCACACTCATTAACTCACCCCATTAAGGTCTATGTCCCTTGGTTAGGCTTATATGCATGCATACAAGTCCTTTGGTTGATCTTTCCCCCTTATCCCACCCTCCCCTGCCTTCCCTCTGAGGTTTGATGGTCTGATTGATGCTTCTTGGTCTCTGGGTTTGTTCATCAGTTTATGTTCTTCATTATATTCCACAAATGAGTGAAATCAGGTGATATTTATCCTTCTCTGACTGGCTTATTTTGCTTAGCAAAATGCTCTCCAGTTCCATCCATGCTGTTGCAAATGGTGAGAATTCCTTCTTTTTTTATACAGCAGCGTACTATTCCATTGTGTAAATGTAGCATATTTATATTTATATTTATATTTAGTTATAGTTATAGTTGTTATAGTTATAGTTATAGTTGTTATAGTTATAGTTATAGTTATATTTAAACAATGGCCAATTAAATAATGTCTCTTCATTCATTCTTTTTGTTGGATTAATCTCATATTTAAGGAAGGGTAGACATCCTTAATTTTTTTTCTAAAATATTTTATTCACTAAACATTTATCTTTTGAACTCACCAAAGGTGAAAAAGCTGAATAAACAGTTTTTTCTTGTGATGAAAATCTAGAACCAACTTTAGTAGTGCTCTTATTACTTAGCTAAGATCACTTCTGGGGGGAGAAGGGGAAACAACAAAAAGGAACAATACCACCACAAAATAAAACAAACAAAAAATCATGAGGAAAGTAATTTTCTCTATTTCAAGACAAGTACAAATTTCTTATGCTTCTAGACTATTTCAAATGTGTGTGTGTGTGTGTGTGTGTGTGTGTGTGTGTGTGTGTACTCCCTTATATTTTTTCTTATGTTAGATTAGAGGCCCAGTGCATGAAATTTGTGCACTGGGGGGTGTCCCTCAAACTAGCAGTCAGATATCCCTCTCAATCTGGGATTGCTGGGTCCCAACCACTTGCCTGCCTGCCAGCCTGATTGATGCCTAACTGCTCCCCTGCCAGCCCAATTGTCCCCAACTGCCCTCACTTGCCAGCCCAATCACCCCCAACTACCCTCCCCTGTGGGCCCAGTCGCCCCCAACTGCCCTTCCTTGCCAGCCCAGTCACCCCTAACTGCCCTCCCCTGCAGTCCTGGTCCCCCACTGCCCTCCCCTGCTGGCCTGATTGCCCACAACTACCCTTCCCTGCAGGCCATCTTGTGGCAGCCATCTTTGACCACATGGGGATGGCCACTTTTGACCACATGGCCATCTTGTGCAATGGCATGAGGTCAATTTGCATATTATATCTTTATTATATATGATATGTAAAAACAAAATTCTCTCTTTTATTTTGAGGTAGTAATGTCATCATATTTCAGAGCCATTTATATCAAAAGGTACTCACAACTCACTTATTCAAGACCCTTCTAAACAAAAAAGCTGAGGCACTTGTACTATCTACAAAGGATTCTGTGTTGTAATGTGGATTCTGTCTTCCATCAAGATTAAGGTTTGTGGATTCTGTCTTCCATCATTCTCACAACTGCCAGGAAATTACCAGATGACAACTCACAAATGAGTTCAGCTCCAGGAGCTTCCCCCTAAGTTGCACTGCCTCACAAGAACAGCTCCATTCATTGACTAGTTAAATGTGGATAAGATGACCCAACTCATATGTCTTAATTTGGGACAACTATGAGAGTCATTATAGCCCTAGCGTTCCCTATGGCAACCACTGAGTCCTACTATCACCTGCATCACAGCTCAACTCTCCCTCTGCCCAGTCCTGCTCCTTCACTTCACAAGGCTTGTTCCTTGGAGAATTTCCAATAACCTTTCTACATGGAAATCTTAGCCTCAGAGTTCACTTCGCTGGGAACCCAAATCTAAGATGCTATCCAACCATCAAAATATATCTTGTCTGAAATTAAATCTCCCTTGAACCACTTTTCAAATTTTCCACTGAAATATTTCTAATGTAAGAGAATATTAACTTTCACCTTTCTGGGAGTCTACGTAGGCTCTTAGCCAGAAGCACTTTTCTGTAAGTTCAACATTTCTTTTAAGTTTCTTATTTTATCTAGTGAAAGTTCTGCATATTGATGTTTTTATTATAAAAGCTTTCTCCAGTTCTCATTTCAAATAAATTGATTACTCATGAAAGATGAACTATGTTTATCTTTTGAATTGAAAGTATTCTACTATATTCTCTCTTTGAGAAATTAATAAATTTTCCTGAAAATTTAATATCAATGTATTTATATTTCAATGTCATGCTTAAAATTACCTAATTATTATAAGTCATATCTTTCCATATAATTTTGTTAAAAAAATGAACAAAATTATTCGTTTCCTGTTTTAAACTGAAAACTCTTAGCACCACCTTACATGCATATGACTAAGTGAGAATAGTCAATCTAAGAAGGGTATATATTGTCTGATTTCATCTATATAACATTCTGGAAAAGGCAACACTGTGGATGGAATAAAATGATCAATGGCTAGCAGGAGCGGAGGGGAAGGAAAAGTTGAGTATATATAGAGCACAGAGGACTTTCGGAGCAGTGTCATTCTGTATGACATTGTAACCGTGGGTTCATGCCATGCCATAGACTGAATGTTTGTGTCTCCCGAAATTTCCTACGTTGAAACCTAATCCCCCATGTCATGATTCTTGGAGATGGGGCCTTGGGAAGTGATTAGGTCATGAAGCCCTCATGAATGGGTTAGTGACCTTGTAAGAGTGGCCGAAGACAGCTACCTTGCTCTTCCTGCCTCCTGAGGACACAGCGACAAGGTACTGTCTATGAGGAGCCAGTTTTTTTCTGGGCACCAAACCTGTCAGAAGCTTGATCTTGGACTTCCTAAGCCTCCAAAACTGTGAAAAATGAATATTTGTTGTTTGTAAACCACTCAGTCGTATTCTGTTTAGAAGACTGAACAGATTAGACATGCCATCATACACTTGTCAAAACCCCTGGAATTTACAACACTAAGAGTAAAGCCTAATGTAAGCTATGAACTGTGCATGATAGTTATGAGTCAGCATTGGTTCATCCATTGTAATAAATGCACCACTGCAGTGGGGCATGTTGATGGTGACAGAGGCTGTGAGTGGGGAGAGAGATGGGTGTACATGAACTCTCTGAAACTCCACTTAATTTTGCTTTAAAGCAAAAGCTTCTCTAAAAAAATTATATACTTTACTTTATATACATTTTAGCACTAATATCCCCCAGAGCATATAATCTAGCTGTACTGCATGTTTTATGGCTTTCTTTTTGTAATTTTCATGTTCAGTGAGCTGCTTAGTCAGGTGGTTTAAAAGCCTTGGAATTGCGTCTTAGACAGTGTGGCTAAGTGGTTGAGCATCAACCCATGAACCAGGAGGTTATGGTTTGATTCCCAGTCAGGGCATGTGCCAGGGTTGCAGGCTCCAATCCCAGTAGAGGATGTGCAGGAGGCAGCCAATTGACGATTCTCTTTCATCATTCATGTTTCTATCTCCCTCCCCAACTCTCTTTCTCTATCTGAAATCAATAATTAAAAAATAACATAGTTAAAAACATTGGAATTTAGATGCCAGGCCAGTGAATCCACAAGCAAATGATGCTAGATTAGTCCTAACCTTAATTAGCTTCCTTGGAAATGCATGTTTTTATCAATTACAGGAGAGAGTCATTCTGTGGGAGAGCATATAGCATGATAAGTACAAAACTAACACCTACATCAGGAAAGCAAACTGAAATAGCACATTCAGTGCTGAGAGTGTCATTCATGTACCCCAGAAAGTACTCTGAAAATAGAAAGGAAGAAAGAGAGAGAAGGAATTAGGAAATGTTGGTGAGCATAACTGAAGGAGAGAAAGGAGGAAAGACACTCCAAGAAAATGCAGATGAAAAAACAACTCATTCTTTTTAGGTTAAAGGTTTTTTACTGATGTTAAGGCAACATTCCTCTGACTATATCTGATTAAGGGTGTAGATCTGATTCTGGGGTAGGAAGAAGATCTGCTATGAAAGCTTAGTGGATTTACACACACACACACACACACACACACACACACACACACACATATAAGCACACTCTCACACCTTATGTATTATATACGATTTAGGGTAATGCTTCTCAAATGGATCACAGGTCTCAAGTTTGTGGAGATCAACAATAAAGTATATCTCGTGTTGTAGTTTGCAATTGATTTACTCTGTATATTGGAGCTGTTTCAAGGCTGTACCAACAGTAAAATTATGCTGACTCCCTAGTATCTCACCAAATATGCTTCTCCAGTGCAAAGTAAGGATGTGGATTTATAGCTATCATCTCAAAATTGTTTTAAGCCATTGCTCTCTTGCCTGTATTGCACCACTCATATGAGAAGCATATGAGCATTAGCTCTCATGAGTTTCAACAGAAAATAGGTTAAGAAACCTGATTTAGAGTACAGGGTTAGTTTTGAGAACAATGGTGCTGAAGCCAAAGGAAAATCCTGCAATCAAAGCTACGCTAGGGTCATCACGAAATGTCAGCTGTGTCACGGCCACAGCATCTTTACCGGGCCTTTCCCCATTGTAGAGGTGTGGCTTCACACTGTGTTTGGACATTCCAAGTCAGAGTTGGAAAATTTTTAACCTCCCTTTGAGAATGCAGTGACATATTCTTCAATAAATACTTTTTAAGTTGACGAGTAATAATTAATGGATAAAATAGTTTTACTTTCTATGATTAATTAAC